AATTTCATCGAAAAATTCCACCGGGAAGACCCTCAAAACGTGGAGGCCGCACGGCGACTTCGGTAAGGTATACCTTACCGGAAAGTTTTCCTGTATATATATACACTTTCATATACATATATATATATAGGGTAAGGTTCAAGTGAGAAGAACCCTTTGGGTGAGAAATGAGAATGAATCTCAACCATTGGATTCGACTAAGTTGCAGTAAAAGACACTTCATGATGCACTGAATTATGCAATCTAGCACGGTGGCATTTCTGTAAATACTTATGAAAAATCCGTATTACACGTGTCTAGTGCAACATGAAGCTATTTCGGTGCAACGCCGTCAAATATTAGTGCAACATGAAACAGTTTTAGTGCAACATGTGCAAAATTTAAATATTACTGCAACATAAAGCCAATTTTAGTGCAACTTCGTAAACCCAATGGCTGAGATTCATTCTCATTTCTCACCTGAACCAAAATCTATATATATATGTATATGTATGTACATATAAGCACAATTATACAAATGTACGTATAATAAGAATCATGTTTCTATTGAGAAACCAATATTATATACGGAGTAATTGAAGAAAATGAAAGAAAACACTGGAAAAAGATTAAAATAGAAAAGAAGCTACAAGTCTGAATCGGAGTACTTTTTTATGTTTAGTTTAAAGTGAGCTTCTCATATTCCGTAACCGACGATAGCCGACGGTGTATCTCTGTGAGTGGGTGGGCAATTTGCTCTTAAAAAGTTAAAAATTGATTTCTTTTGCTCCAAAAATAAGCCTAGTGCCTAATTTGCTTCTTGATATAAACGTTAATGGTTTATATGCACCTTTAAGCTTATGATCGACCTGACCTGCGGACACGATAACCGTAGAATTCAGCGAGTCTCAAAAGACAATTTTGCCCCTCTGATTTCCCCCTTTTTTTTACTTTCTTTCTCGAACCTAGCCCTCGTTTTCAATACTGAATCTCGAGAACTTCTTTTCGATACTGAACCTCGAGAACTTCTTTTCGATATTATGATCGAAGTTTTTGAACATGTTAAATTGGTTCTACAGAATAGGAGCCTAACAGTGAATATCAATAATCTCTTCATTCCTTATATATCACTTTCTGTTTATTGATTTTTTCGTTTATTAAAAAGTCTTAAATTATGTCTATAGTCAATTTCAATTAATTTCAATATGTGAATCTAATGTGATGTAGTATGATATGTTTGAAATGTGCAACCTTTTAAAATGAGAATAAAACCTATGTTTAAAAAACCGACCCGACCCGGCCGGGTTGACCCGGAACCCGGTGACCCGGACAAAAAACCGGTTCGGGTTTTTCAAAACCCGGAAATGGTAAAAAACCGGAAAAACTCGGCTGACCCGGGAAAACCCGGTCAAGACCCGGACCCAAGAAACCCGAAAAACCCGGTAAAACCCAGCTTTTGGGTGTTTTTACCAAAAAAGTAATTTCTTTTTTATTTTTAATGAATTTTTTATACCAATAAAATTGCAGTTTCAATATCTTAAAAAGAAAAACTACGTAATATATTTATATGTTTATTTAAGAATGAACATCAGGCCAAATTATAATATAGATGTACAATAAAAATAAAAATATCATTATATATTTTTATAAGATCAAAATATACATTGAAATATTATAAGAGTGTATTAAATGCTTAATAAGTAGTATTGTTAGTTGATTATTATGAATAATAACTAATTTTTATTATAATTTTATATATAATTATTTGTTTACTATTATTATATAGACGTATAATCATTGACCGGTTTTCCGGCATTGACCGGGTTGACCCACCGGGTCCGGGTTGACCCGTGACCCAGTCATGTGGCCGGGTCACTCTCCGGTCCGGTTTTTACAACATAGAATAAAACAATATCAAATGAGCATACATAACTTCAAGGCTGGTCCTATCCATTTCTAGGCCTATGGGCGATACAATATTTTGGGCTTATATCCAAGACAAATCGTAAACTATATACTTATTTGAAATATGAATTATAATAGAGGGAAAATCTCACTTTTAGTCCCTGAAATAGTCACGAAAATGAAATGTCATAGCCGTATTCCCAAGTCTGAAAATATCGTCCCTCAATTGTCCTAAATGTTGTAAATGTGGTCCTTTTAGGAGTGAAATATACAATGTGGGCGAGAGTACATTTCACCCCTTAAAGGACCACATTTACAACAATTTGGACAATTGAAGAGTGACATTTACAATATCAGAAATACGGGTCCGACATTTCATTTTCGTGACTATTTCAGGGACTAAAAGTGCGATTTCCCCTATAATAAAAGTATCCAATAAAGTTCATAAAATAATGGTGGGAATCAATTTATTATTATTTAAGTTACATACTTGGGCAAAAGTAACAACAAGAGTATCGAATAAAAAGAAAAAAACTTTACTATAAAACGTTTCTGTAGAACAATGTGAAGCAAATTATCAATAATTGATTTATAGGCAATCTTATTTCCACTAATAAATATGACAAAAAAATCGCAACATGAACAACACAAAACTTTCTTTCAGTTACAACTGAAAGGATTAATGAAAAGAAAGATTACTACATGTTGAATTCATAAGTTTAGAATGATTTATTGACTGCTAAAAGAGCAGTTATCTTCCAAAAATATCTATATGTATATATATATATATATATATATATATAGGAAATCTTTCCGGTAAGGTATACCTTACCGGAGCCGCCGTGCGGCCTCCACGTTTTGAGGGCCTTCCCGGTGGAATTTTTCGATGAAATTTTTTGAGCATGTTCGTCATCAAGTCTAGTACATCCATACCAAATTTCAGCAAAAAATTCAATCTGGAAGGCAGCCAAACGATTTTTGGAAGATAACTGTGTTTTATATGTATATAAAGGGTGCAGTTATCTTCCAAAAATCATTTGACTGCCTTCCCGATTGAATTTTTTGCTGAAATTTGGTATGGATGTACTAGACTTGATGAAGAACATACTCAAAAAATTTCATCGAAAAATTCCACCGGGAAGGCCCTCAAAACGCGGAGGCCGTACGGAGGCTCCGGTAAGGTATACCTTACCGGAAGAGTTCCCTATATATATATATATATATATAGAGTAGTCTTCCGGTCAGGTATACCTGACCGGAGCCCCGTCCGGCCTCCTCCATTTGGGGGCCTTACCGGTGTTATTTTTTGCTCAAATTTTTTGTGTAGGTTCCTCATCAAGTCTAGTTCATCCATACCAAATGTCAGCCAAAAATTCAATCGGGAAGGTCGTCAAATGATTTTTGCAAGTTAACTGGTCCGAAAAATACATATTCCGGACCAGTTAACTTGCAAAAATCATTTGGCGACCTTCCCGATTGAATTTTTGGCTGAAATTTGGTATGGATGAACTAGACTTGATGAGGAACCTACACAAAAAATTTGAGCAAAAAATACCACCGGGAAGGCCCCCAAATGGAGGAGGCCGGACGGGGGGAGTGGTCCGGCCTGGCCGGACCTGAACATTCGTGTGTGTGTATATATATATATATATATATATATATATATATATATATATATATATATATATATAGCACTAAAAGAAGTAAGCTAGATAATATCGTGACATCGTGTTTGATAAAAGTTAATTCCTTCAATTTTTAATAAGTCTTTAATTTGAGTCAGAAAAGTAAAAAAACAAGTAAAACATATTATCATCATGTATGTCGTTACAAATTTCTCATCAATTAGAATACAATTAAATATATACAGAGTAGAGGGCTCTTCTCATCAGGCCGGCCTGACGGGCTGCCCCGTCCGGCCGAGCCCGTTTGGGCACCTTCCCGGTGGAATTTTTTGATGAAATTTTTTGAGCATGTTCCTCATCAAGTCTAGTGTATTTTCCGGACCAGTTAACTTGCAAAAATCATTTGACGACCTTCCCGATCGAAGTTTGAGCTGAAATTTGGTATGGACAAACTAGACTTGATGAGGAACATGCTCAAAAAATTTCATCAAAAAATTCCACCGGGAAGGTGCCCAAACGGGCTCGGCCGGACGGGGCAGCCCGTCAGGCCGGCCTGATGAGAAGTTTTGTCATACAGAGTATATTATACTTAAATATGCATATGTGTTCTATTTACTCACTTTCTCACTTTTAACCGTACTCATATAAAATTTATGATAAGTATTTTTATTTATTACGTATTATGATGATGATGATATAATATTTATTAATTCATTAGTCATAACTAATACACAGTTACACACATATATACATTTATATATGTCTATATGTATATGCATGTGTTTGTTATATACCTCGTACTACATACTCTATAATTTACTTAAATAAGGTTATACATTATTTATGTGTATGTATGTTTGTATATATATGTATGTTTGAGTTTATATATATAACGGGGACGGGGCGGGTGTAGCAATCCCCACCCCCACCCCATATTTTAACGGGGTATAAATATCCCACCCATCCCCGTCCCCACCCCATCCTCACCCCATGGGGCGGTTCCCCACGGGGCCCCGCCCCCATTGCCATCCTTACATGTGTTGAAACTTCTATTGCTCAAGAATGAGTTCATAAGTCTGAAACACAGGCATATAGCTTTCCTAAAGCTCAAAAAAGATTGTTTTGGAAACAAAAATAAAACAAACATTTCATGAATTAAATAGTGTGGTGAAATTCACAATGGAATGAAATGATTTGGGACAAAGAAGTGAATCATACCAAACCGAACTACACCAAACCGAAATCGGACCGTATGCAATTTGATTTGAGTTTGGTAATATTTCTTCCAACTGTACTAAACTGAACCGAACCGCCGAAACCAATTAAAACCGAAGAAAATCGAATCGAACTAAAGAAATTCAAAAAATCCTTTATATTATATTTAAAAATAACAAATCCAAACTGAACCAAACCGAAACCGAATTAAACCGAACCAAATTGAAAAAATAGTATGACTTGTTTGGTAATTTTTCTCCCTACCAGTTCCACAGAACCGAATCAAAAACCGATATATCCAGCCCTGCCCTTAGCATCCAAGAATGGTTGTTGATGGTTAGGCTGGTAGGAGCAAGTTAGCTGAATGTGAGGTTTGGAGGAACAATTTTTGGTGTTTTTGTGACGCCACAAGTGGTCATGCCGGATATTGCTTTGATATCTAACTTTCATTTATCTCCCCACAGAATTTCTGCCAAACTCATACTCCCTAAGTTGCTAATCCAGTTCTCCCAGTTCTTCATTTTCAAACTCTTGCCATCCTGCTGAGGCTAAAAATTGGAAGTCGGGACGTACCTACTGGAAATCATACTGAACAACAGTCAAGATTGAAACTTTTATTTTGAAAATAGGTATGCTGTCAACTTTTGATGAAACTGTTAAGTCAAATTTCTTTTATTTTGTTTGAAAGATCTTCGTTTAACACCAGGGCTCATCAAAGTCTCGTGCTACGAAAATTAAAAGCAATTCAAGACGGGCCTGTTGGATTGTGGCTTTCTTTTGGCCATTATAGGGCATAGAAAGATGTAGAACAGAGTGACAGTGTATAGTTATGGGGGCCACCTCGCAGAGGCAGGCCTTCAATGGAAGCAATATCTCGTGTTGGAAATATTTTAAAAGCCATGAGGCCTGTGATGGAGCCTGATGTCTGGGGTCTCCTGGATGCCATGTTCACTTACATTGGTAGAAGCCCTGGATCAGTTAAGCTTAAGGTATTTAGCCAAGTGATGCATTTGCAAATTTATTCTTATTGTTTTGTAGACACGTTCAAGGGTTTCGTTTCGTGAATTCTTTCTCTGCATACCAACATTGTTGCCCACAATTCAAGATCGGTTGATTGACTGCATTTCAGCAATCCTTTCAAGATCCCATTCCCATCAGTCAAACCTTGTAGTGACCTCAGGTAAGGGACACATCTCTAATGCCACTCAACAAGTGCCAGAGCTTAGTGGTTCAGCTCTTGTTCAACTTGCTTTGCAAACTCTTGCTAGGTTCAACTTCAAGGTTTGTCTACCTACTTGTTCGTGTCAGTGTGTGTGAGTGTTTCCTTCAACATTTTTTTCTAATTGTGAGTATAGCTGACCTAGTTGACCCTTGATGATAGTTAGCTAGCTGTCAACAGCACTCGTATATGATATTGTCCAAGGTCAAGATCTAGAGAACAAAGGTGTACTAGAAACAATTGAAAGATGAAACTCAGGATCCATTATTATTTCAAGAGTGAAACAAAGAATGTGAGTACACTAGAATTAATTGATGCTAAAGCCCCCTTATATAGTAAACACAAAACCCCTAATAATAATAGGAAACAGAAAGCTAAAAGCTAATATAGTTAACCCTTGTTTAGGAAATACGACCTATGTCCCGGCTTAAGGTTCCCGTTAAAAAATGACACGTTTGTTTTGATGTTAAGTATTTGTCCCACACCGGAAATCTATAAAATAATAAAACACTATATGAGACTTTGGGCTAATCCTCCTATCAGCGTTGACCTTTTAGGATGGAGCCCCAAGTCTTAACATGGTACTAAAGCCAAATCGATCCATGGTGTAGGCCCCTGTGAAAAATGATGACACAATTAAAAAAAATGACAATGACAAACCGACAAAAAAATGAATGACGACATGATCCGGGCGAAGTGTCTAGTCATGAGGAGGGGTGTTGAAGTCCCACACCGGAAATTTATAAAGTAATAAAGTGTTATATTAAGATCCGGACTCCTCCTCTTATTAGGTTGACCTTTTAGGATGGAACCCCGAGTCTTCACATGTTATCAAAGCCAAGTTCGGTTGTGGTTTGACTACTTGTTTAGTACCCATGATTAAGGGTAGCTTGTTAAGAGCTTGTTTGGACCATTTATAAACCCCGATATTGTCCAGCCCGGTTCGGACTGAGGGGTGTGTTAAAGCATTTGTCCCACACCGGAAAGCTATAAAAACAATTAAGCACTATATAAAGCTATTAAATGTGACATCTTTACTTCTTATTCCTTTCATATGTTTTAGTTAGATGGATGATCCACTTATTCACACTTGAATCTGACTTTCATCCAAACATGAATTCCAGCTTTGTAACTCTTCGATTCTGCATGCCAATGCCCGTGCTGTGTTGTTGATTTTTTAAGTTTCTGCTGCTGCTGTTGCCTTCCATTTTGGTTTATTCATACTTTTTATTCTCCCATCTCATATTATATCTCATTCAATAGGTCTTAGCTGGAAACATGATTACTTGAGTTATTTGACTTACCTTTGACAGGCATTTCATGTTTGCTCCTTGAGAAGAGTTTAACTTGTGCACATTCTTTCTGGATTTTTACCCATTCACTGGGCTTTTAAGTATATGATTTTTGTGTTAAACAGTCTCAGACGTGAGAAAAACATCTCCTCCCACTTGTATGTACTTTGTGATGCCTGGAAAGTAACTATTCTAGAATTATTCTTTAATGGTTTTAGTTTCTTGTTATGTTCAACTTATTCTCGCCCATCTTTTCTCCTGATTTCTTCCTTAATTAGCTTTATGCTCTGGAATGGACTTTCAGCTCTGTTGCAATTTTCAAGTTCATTTTTTCCATATTGTTATTACTCTCATGTTCCATGATACGGGGATTGATTACTCCGGTACCCTCCTAAAAAATGGGGTACCATACCTACCATTCATTTGATTGGACTACATTACTTTATCATTTTTAATTTAGATTTAAATAATTCAACTGCTACATTTTCATTGGTCCATTTGGACAAAGGTATGGTACCTTATGGGTACCATAGAATCTACCTTGATTTTAATATATGAAATTGTAGCAGAATGTGAGTCACATGACTCTCAACAAAAATTGCTCTCATGCGATATTTTCCACTCAAGTAAAAAAATCTATAATGTGAAGGTTTTAGAATTTTCAACTCATTCCTTCAGAAGGCTGCCTAAAGGTCTAAAACTTGTAATTATGTTATAGTTTTTGCATGAGATGCAGTGTTAACTAATTTTTACTATTCAATTGACCCTAGTTTGTTGATGTTTTCGTTCTATTTGTTCAAATTGTCATGATGATGGGATTTCGCCGATGTGTTTCTATTAGGAAGAATGTGGTGCCTTGCTGCTTTAGTACGATGGGAAGAGCTTAACAATCTTTGCAAGGAATACTGGACTTCAGCTGAATCAGCTGCTCGATTGGAAATGGCGCCAATGGTTTGCATTTAACTTTAATGTAAATGTTGTATAAAATATGTTAGGAAATCAGGAAAGTTCTTACTATATTCATCCAGGCTGCAAGTGCTGCTTGGAACATGGGTGAATGGGATCAGATGTCAGAATATGTGTCTCGTCTTGATGATGGTGATGAAACTAAACTTCGAGTGTCTGGAAATGCTACTACTAGTTGTGATGGATATAGTAGTGGAGCATATTTAAGGGCTGTTCTACTTGTTTGCAGGGGAAAGGTATTCTTGATTGATGATCTATATTAGTTTTAGTCCGTTTGGTGACCCTGTTTTTCGGTTTATCAGGCTTATCAACCAACTTTTTCACCAAAACGTAACTTTTGATTTCGTGCGTTGAGTTGTGTAATAATAAGAAAAAGTAAGGTTGAAGTTACTTTTCTGGTTGTATCGGCTAAAGTTACCGTAGAAGATCATTTTAGTTGTTTTTTCATTTATTTTTTTCTTTATTTTTTTTGTTAATAAAATTTATTTTAAATATATTTTTCATAAATCAGCAGAATCAACCAATTAAGCCACTTCACCCAGAACTTCATAAATCAGCCAATACAGCCGATTTGGGTATATTACCAAATGGGCTCTTTGACTTTTGAGGCCGGTATTCAACTTTTATTCCACATTCTCTTCCAGTATGATGAAGCGCGTGAATATGTTGACAGAGCAAGAAAATGTTTGGCTACAGAGCTTGTTGCATTGGTTTGCATCTGCAACCCCACTCCTCTCTCTTTTCTTTTCTTACCTGGCTATGATGGAGGTAAATTATTTGTTTTCCTTCAATACTTTTAATTTAATGTCTCAGTTGAGGTGAATGAATGTTCTGAAGACACACAAGAGTAAATTGATTAATGAAGAGAAGAGCACTTCTTTTCAATTTTGGTGAGGAAATAAACCTTCCAAGTTCCAATTATAAACTGGCGGCTTTTCAACTTCAATGAAGTTCCTCAAATGTCTACATTGCACACCCCTGCTGCAGTCAACAGTGAGGAATCTGCTTCCAATGAGCTATTTCAACCACAAAGAGGTGCCAGGGAGAAGGAATTGCTTCAGGTGGCATAGATATAATATATACATATGTACATGCACTTCGAGAAGTTTCTCTACTTATCCTTATGAAGTTTCTCAAATGTCTACGCTACACACTGCTATATGTAACTTTTTGTTGTTTAATGCAGGCAGTTGGCCAACTTGGAGATGCCAATGAGGTTCTGAATGAGTGTGTTGTAGCTGTAATGGCTAGAATGAGCAACAAGCTCACCGGGCGTGATTTCTCTACTTCCCCTCCACCTATCAGCTCTGCACAGCATGTGTTGGGCGGGCCATAGCACCTTGATTTCTGGAGAGATCCGTGAATCCGATCATGGTTTATCAGTCAAATCGCAAGTACAAAAGCTTATTCTACAATCAACATCACATGAAAACTTGTGTCAGAATTATGTCGGGTATTACCCCCCCCCCCCCCCCCCCCGATGAATGAAAATATAAATAAATAGAAATTCATGCTTTAAACCACAAGGATTACAGGAATGTTTTAAAACAATGTTTACATCTTTGTAGTATGAATATGGGTCATTTTCAGTTTTGGTGCATGGCCTTAGTTTCTTAGCCTTGTGCACGACATTGGATTTCGTGCAACCTTTGGTCCTTTGAATCATTAATCCGGCGATTACAATTTTTATTAAGTTATTGCTAGATAAGTGATCAGGAGCAAGAAATACGTGTCCATTAAAAGTGGAACAAATGGAACTCGTGGGTCTGATGTGAAATTGAATTGATAGTCTTGGAACCAAAACTGGAACATTTTCTTTTCCAAAACCTTGAAAATTAAATCATTGTCTGGCTCTTATTGACCCTGTGTTTTACTGCAGGTCAGAATTCCACAACAAATTACAGAAAGAGAACAAGAAATCAAACGGATTTTATTAGAGAAGAAGATGAACAGTACAGAAATCCAAGGCCGAAGCCCCCAATTGAGCCGAAGCCCCCCAAAGAAAGAGAAAAGCTCTCGATCTTCCCAAGTCTACGTCCAAAAGCCTGCTTTCCCTTCCCAGCCTTCCTTCTATTTATAGTAGTCTAATACACTTATTATTATTCTTGCTCTAATAGGCCCAATTCCTATCAGTCTATTAGGCCCAATTCCTAATATAGGTAGATCCCTAACAATACTCCCTCCCTAAACATCCACCTTGCCCTCAAGGTGGGCGGTAGGAGACAGCCAAGATCTTTTTCCCCTTCTTCTTCCTTGCACTTCTACCTTCCCAATATCTCACTGGTTTCCGAGCAAAGAGCTTCCGTATTAGATCTTCACATCTCTGAGATGTTTCTGCAGCATAGAATGTTTCTGGTGAAGTATCTTTCACTTTCTTAGTCTTCAGGCCTTCAATAGCCAACCATATTTTCATTCTTTCCTGAGGTATATCCATTACAACAACAGCAGAATTTATATTCATGTCCTGAACATCAGGATTCTCATCCCTTTTAACCTGCTCAACTCCATTTGACTTTTCTCCCTTTGAGTTAGGCTTGACATCAAATTTCTGTGGTTCTATCATGCTTTTCAGTAATATAATGCAATGTCATCCACTGCTGCACTTTGAGTACACCCAACATAATGCCACCCTACCACTTCCCTAGAAATCCCCCACCAAAAACTCTCTGCCACTGCACATTTCTCAAAAGGAGAGTCCATTTTCAAAATGGTACAATCTTTGCTACTATAAAGAAACACATAAACCAAGCAACACTTTGAGGCTGAGAATACAAAATCAGCTCCTGCATCATCAAGTACATCAGCCCTACTTATTTGGTTCCATCGTTTCTTGTCAGATGAGGGAAGTTCGTTTTTTCTAAAAGAACTCAAATCTTTGCTGCTATTCTTCAGGTTGGAGGAATCATGAAGCATAGAATCCAAATTGAGGTAGCAGCATCCTTTGCGATTTTTCCAAAAACAAAAAACTTCTATGACAGGAAAAGAATAACCCTCCATTCCCCTCTGCAATCCTCTGTCCAGAGTTGTAAGGAAAAGGATAATACCTTCAGATTGTCCCAAATGGATCAACCATTTTATCCCTCTAATCGCATCAGTTACAAGAAATACCTCCTTCCCTTGAAATATAGGACTTGACTTCCCCATAATTTGCACGCTCAACTCCTTCTGAATATGCTTTATAGAAGTAACAACATCAAATGTGAAACAATCAATCTTATTCAGTCCTTCCAAACTATTATCTGGTAAACATTGAATTGGTTTAAGTATTTCTAAACCTTCCTTATTGTCTGAAGAAAATCTCATAGATGGATTAACCTCCTCTTCAGAGTCTGATTCTGTAACTGAAGGGACCACCAGGTTTAATTCTGTGTTCATTCTTGTTGGTGGGGTCCCCTGGAATTCTTTTTCTAATGCGCCTATGTCAAAAGTTCTTGAAGCCGATGACCCTTGTGAACGGTGTGGAACCACAAGCGATGATGATCTGTGTGCTGACGAGCGGTGAGAGTCCGCAAGTGAAGAAGCATGTGAACTGAAAGAATAGCTCAGCGACAAAGGTGAAGATTCTTCTCTCACTCCTGTCTTTCTTGGACGCGAACTGATAGCCGGTGAAGAATTCTGTGAATGATGATGCGAAGAGCTATGAGAAGAGCGATGAGAAGAGGTACGCGAAGAGCGGTGCCAAGAACTATGCGAAGATTGATGCGAAGTTCGCGACTGCGGACTCTGATAAGAAACAGATCGCGACTCTGCTCGCGATAGCGGATGACGCCTACTGTCCCTCGTTCGGTCGTCAGATTTTCTGTGATGCCTTCTCTCTTTGGATTCTTCTGGATTCGCTGACTTTCGCGTGTGATGGTGAGAGTCGCGATGTGATGATTGTGACACATGCGATCGGTTTCGCGACCGACTTTGAAGTCTGTTCTGCACATCTGCGATGCTAGCTAGTATCGCGGCTTCCATCACAGCCAGATTTGCCTCCATATCCGTCTGGAACTTCCGCAGACTTCTATCCATATTCCTTCCAAATTCTACCAAATTTTCCTCAACTTTGTTGATTCGTCTTTCCATCCTTGCGAGCGTGTAACTCATCCAGCGAACGACTCGCTTCTATACCAATGATAGAAACCTCCAGAATTCCACAACAAATTACAGAAAGAGAACAAGAAATCAAACTGATTTTATTAGAGAAGAAAATGAACAGTACAGAAATCCAAGGCCGAAGCCCCCAATTGAGCCGAAGCCCCCCAAAGAAAGAGAAAAGGTCTCGATCTTCCCAAGTCCCAGATAATACGTCCAAAAGCCTGCTTTCCCTTCCCAGCCTTCCTTCTATTTATACTAGTCTAATACACTTATTATTATTCTTGCTCTAATAGGCCCAATTCCTATCAGTCTATTAGGCCCAATTCCTAATATAGGTAGATCCCTAACATGTGCCCGGTTTGGTAGGTGGTCTGGAGAAGTTGAGGTACCTGCTTGTCTTTGTGTGTATTATTATTAAACATAGTAAATAAATACTCTGCAACTGTTGTACTAGATTGAGAATATGTTTTCCTGTACAGAAACTTTGTGAAAAGTGATAAAGATATAACGTAAGGGTGAAGCAAGTCTTGTAAATAAGTGTCTCTCTACTCTTCCCAATGTCAACTAGAATCTCATAGTTCACACAGAATATATAAATTGTTCCGTTTTTTCGTGATGTTTTCCCCCTTTGTTTATGCAGGGTTCCAGGGCTTTTGACCATTGTAAATAAGATGTAATCTAACTGGATTGATTGTAGAGGACATATCATTTTCAAATTTGGCTGGGTGCATGACTCTAAAATTTCCTTTTTTTGATGAGCGATGTAATTATTCCATGTCATCTTACATGTTAAGGAAATTTTTGAGCGTTAACTGGAAACTTGAACTTGGAAACCATAATTTTGTTATTAACTGTGGTGAGAGCAGAGCCAATAGTGGCACATTGAAGCTCAGTTTATGATTAACAAGTGCTTTAGGAAATAGGAAGTACTAGATTTGTTCTACTTTCCTCTGATTATGATGTTGTAAAGGTTATTTTGGATTGAACCCTATATGTAGAAACAATTTTGTTTTCTTTACGAAAGTATCTTTACAAAAGTTGTATGACCCGATAAAGGATTATTTTGGTAATGCTTTCAAGAGATACCTTTTGGGAATTTTATCGAATCAAGACTTGAAAGATAGATGAATTATCAATGCGAAACCTCATAGAAGAAAAGTGTCAATATAAGACTCGAATGATGGAAAACTATCAATTTAGGACCTGAATGATTGAAAATTATCAATCCGGGACCCAAGTTGTCGTGAATTTTATTATTATTTCTATTTTAATGTTTTTAAATATTATTTAGTTTTATGCAACTAATAAATATAATTAAACTTTTGTGAAGAAAAGTTTATAAAAAACTAGCAATAGAATTAATTAATAAAAAATTAATAAATAAAAACTTATAAAATGTCAGGTCCTAGATTGATAGTTTTCCATCATTCGGATCATATACCGATACATTTCATCTTTCAAGCTCTGAATTGATAATTCATCTATCTTTTAGGTCTTGAATTGATAAAATTACAAAATACCCAGGTTAGTTAGAAGCATTTATATACCAGCTTCCAATTTTTAGCTTTTAAATGTTTTTTTAAGCATAAACAGGTATTAGGGATGGCCTCGGTTCGGGCCGCCCGGCCCGGGAACCGGCCCGGCCCGCTACTGTGTGGGACCGGCCCGATTTTCCGGGTCCGGGTCCGGTTTGGGCCTAGGCCCGAGGGCTTGGGTGGTTCCGGGCTCGGTTACAGTTTTTGGCGAACCGGCCGGGTCGGGCCCGGGTCTAGGCCAAAAACTGTTTTTTTTTTCATTTTTTTGGGCTTTATTGAGTTGGGCTTGATGTTTAGGACCGGTTTGGGGGGTTTGGGGGGGTGGGGGGAGAAAAGAAAAGGAAAAAACATAAACTAACCGGGTGTCCCGGTCCGGCCCGGAACAAGATCCGGAACCGGTGGCCACCGGTTCGGGCTCGGGCCCAACAAAACAGACCTGAGGCCTGACCGGGCCCAGACCCGAACCGGGCCCGAACCGGCCCGAGGCCATCCCTAGCAGGTATTTGAAAACACCAATTTCAACTTTTTTTAAACTAGAAGCTGAAAAACATTTTTTCAATTGTTACAAACACTGAAACTAACACTCACTTAGTATCATGCAAAGCCTCAAAGGAGAATAACCATCGTAACCTAAATTCAAAGACGCACTTAAGTTAGCTCACTTGACATTTCCCTGTGTTCGGTGTTCCTAGATGTTTTATTATCTCATGTATGTAACTCAGAAATAGATAAGGTCACGCACTTTCGTCAAACAGCCACATGCCATGCCTATTTAGAATAAAATAGAATATCTATAACTAAAAGAATGGTTGTTTGTAAAAATTTGACCCCTTAAATGTACAACTAACTTTAATCGTGGTAATTTATGTTCATTTTTACACTTACATGATCTTGCCATTATGTTATACTACCCCGTTTTTAAATAAGTGCAACGTGTTATTCTACATTATTCACATTCTCTACTTTTACTACATCTTATTTATTAGTATATCAGAAATTTATTTTTTGAAAAAAAAAATGTTAAATTATTACTCTCATTTTACATTTTCAAAATCTGAGTTATATGGATTTTCTTCTATATTTTCTCTAAACATACGACCACTTTGTAGGGTATTGCTTCTCTTATATGAATATAACTGGTGATGAATATGATTGGTTTCTTTAATCTATGATACATTCATACATTTATTGTTTATTATTGTGTGTACGGTGTACCCTTTCTTCATTGCATGACATGCATCATACGTGCATGATGATTGCTTTCCACTTCTCTAAAGTAATATTCAAAAAGAGATTGTTACATCAAATTTCTTCTCTTTGTGCAGAGAGTTGATGGAGTCTTTGTGAAGCTTGCTTTCCACTAACTTTAGCAATTCAAGATGAAAAGTAAGATATAAGTTGAATGTGTAGAAACTAGAAAGTGCAAGAATAAGGAAAGTATTTACCACTACGCGAGAGGTCATTTTGCAAAAAAAAAATCTTCTTCATAGAATTTTATTTGGACTTTATCAAGTTATTCGCATTTGACTTATTTTTGTGCTTTTGTGAAAAAGTTGTCTACTCCTACTTTGATAATGTATTGATGCTGCTAAGCTGATCATCCATGGGGTGTGCTACACATATAGGCAGTATGTACTTAAAAAGTTATCATATGGTGACCAAATTTATAAATATAAAGAGATAGATCGCTTTCAACATTTTTTTTATAAATAAGACTAACATTTGAAGTTCTTATTTCTACTACTACATAGCTAATGATAATGGAAGTAGCCTGTGCCAACCATTCGGTAAAAGCAATTCGTTTATGTGTACAAAATATATTCGAAAATTCCTTTTACAGTCTCACTCACCGTTTTCTCCCGACTATGCCACATTGCCACTAGTATAATTAGTTGAGTTATTTCCTGAGTAGGGGTACTTTCTAAACTTATTTCCCGAAATAGGATACTTCTAAACTTATTTCCCGAATAGGGGTACTTTTTCCTTGTCAGCGTGCCACGTCATCATTCAAGTCAAACCCGCCACGTCATCATTCAAGTCAAATCCGCCACGTCATCTTCCAAGTCAAATCCACAAGTCCATGTAATCCTATGTATCACTTAAAAATAACAAAATTGGAGGTCAAGGGGATTCGAACCCACAATCACTCATTGAAATTTCTAACTCTCCACCACCAGACAACACTGACATCTTGTCCGAATCTTGTATTTACATATACTTCTATTCATATTGTTTCAGACTTGTTGAATTATTATAATATTGTTATTCTAATTGGAGATACTATAATTATTACGGTTGTTATTATTACTATTATTATTTTAGTTACTGTTATTATTATTTTATTATTATTATTATTATTATTATTATTATTATTTTGTTATTGCTGTTATTATTATTGTTATTATTATTATTATTACTCCATCCGTATTTAAAAGTTCCCAGACTTTCCTTTTTGACTGTATTTGAAAGTTTCATACACTTCGTAAGTTTACCCATTATAAAATATTCAACTATCTTAATTTATCTATTTTTATCTTCTCTTTCATATTTTTACACTCTCTGTCCATATTCAACTATCTTATTATAATCATTATTGTTGTTGTTATTATTATTATGATTATCATTAGTAACAACAAGAATTGAAATAGTAACAATAATAATAATAATAATAATAATAATAATAATAATAATATAATAATAATAATAATAATAATAATAATAATAATAATAATAATAATAATAATAATAATAATAATAATAATAATAATAATAATAATAATAATAATAATAATAATAATAATAATAATAATAATAATAATAATAATAATAATAATAATAATAATAATAATAATAATAATAATAATAATAATAATAATAATAATAATAATAATAATAATAATAATAATAATAATAATAATAATAATAATAATAATAATAATAATAATAATAATAATAATAATAATAATAATAATAATAATAATAATAATAATAATAATAATAATAATAATAATAATAATAATAATAATAATAATAATAATAATAATAATAATCATAATAATAATAATAATAATAATAATAATAATAATAATAATAATAATAATAATAATAATAATAATAATAATAATAATAATAATAATAATAATAATAATAATAATAATAATAATAATAATAATAATAATAATGATAATAATAATAATAATAATAATAATAATAATAATAATAATAATGATAATAATAATCATAATAATAATAATAATAATAATAATAATTGTAATAATAATCATAATAAAAATAATAATAGTCAGAAAAAAAATTATAGTAATAATAACAACAGTAATAAAAATTATAGTATCTACAACAACAACAACAACAACAACAACAACAATAATAATAATAATAATAATAGAAATAATTATAATACTTAAACAAGCCCAGCTTAATATGAATACAACTATGTCCAAATACGTTATTGTATCAAGTGGCTCTGATGGTCTAGTGGTTGAAGATTCAAAATTTCAATTGCATGTGTGTGGGTTCGAATCCCCTTCACCTCAGTTTTCTTTTAATTTTTAAATGATACATTGGATGACATGGACCTTTGATGTGACAGGTAAATGATGTGGAAGTGGCATTTGACTTGAATGATGACATGGCACGCTGACAAGGAAAAAGTACCCCTATTCGGGAAATAAGTTTAGAAGTACCCTATTTTGGAAAATAAGTTTAGAAAGTACCCCTCTCCCGGAAATAACTCATAATTACTTATAGAATGTGTGTAAACTAGGTTAAAATAGGAAACTTATACTCCGTAAGATAAATTACTAGCTATCTCCGTCACTATTACCAATAATACTAGCTAGATATTATGATGGGAGTTTTTGAACATGTTAAATTGGTTCTACCTATTAGGAGCCTGACACTGAATATCAGCGATCTCTGTTTCATTCCTTATATATCACTTTCTGTTTATTGATTTTTTTTCTGTTAATTATTAAAGTCTTAAATTATGTCTATAGTCAATTTCAATTAAAATTCAATATGTGAATCTAATGTGATGTAGAGTGATATGTTTGAAATGTGCAACCTTTTAAAATGAATATAAAACAATATCCAATGAGCATACATAACTTACAAATTGAGTATCAAAAAATTAAAAAATTGATTTGTGTGTGCTCATTCCTTTTGGGTGTTATACTCATTTGAGTTTAACATAAAACTCATTTATAATGTGCTCAATCAGTCAATCTTCATTTTTGTATGTTCATTTTTTAGGCGTATACTCATTTGAGTTTAATATAAAGCTCATTTGAGATCAATAGCAACAATGATTCCTTATCAACGAATAAGACTCCTATTGTAATATTATATTTTTGAAATATGTATGAATATGACATTTTAAATTTAGTATTACACTAATATCAAATGAGTATAAATAAATTACAAAATCAGAA